CTACCAGTAAATGTGTGAGACATGTTCACCTTAAACGAAATAGGGTAGCACATATCAGATATCTGATTTACTGGCCATGTGGCGTGGTGCTTAACGTGTATCGTCATGGTTTGAGTCCCGCTAGGGGTACCAATGAGACCTAGACGAGGTTGACACTGCAGTCCAGTCCAGTCCATCCTGGATGAGAATAACTTTTGGTAAGTAAAGCTTTGGGAAGGTCAATGGAAACATAAGGCCTGCTCATAGCATTATGGGAAAATTCAGCTACCAATCCTTCATAGCCTTAAACGAAATAGGCCAACTAGTTCTTATAGATCTCATTTGCCAGTAGTCTCGAACCCCTACTTGCAAAGTAAAAATACTTACATCCGTTTAGCGATTCAGCGTCAAGCGATCATTCGATTAAAGGTGATTGAAACTTATTAATTTGGAGAACAAAGAGCGACTATGATGTTTGGTGAAATTTAGGGATCAGTTTACACAGGGAACCCCAGTGGAGCCTATGATTGCTAACATTGATTCAATGCCCCCACGTAGAGCTGAACCTGAAAGGCAGATGTATTCAGGTCAGTATCCGGCTTGGGGGTCTGGTTACATAGGCGTGTCCTATTCTACCTTTTGTTTATATGATGGCGCTCGCGCCTGTGCAGGTAGCCACATAAATAATGACACAAATGCGCTTGTGTGCTGACCAATTTGAAGGTATATATAAAGGTATAATTTGGTCACTTATTAGACTTGTGTGCGCATTCTTTTGTCCTTCACTTCCCCAAGGTGAAGCTATCGCTTAGCTGCATACTCCCACTCCGATATCCAGGGGCTCCCTCATTCCTCCTAATCTCGATTTCTGTCAAGAATCACAATTTTTGTTTATCATCCATTTCAGGCCAGTTTATTGCGACCAGCTTAGCAGCCACGGGTTCCCCTGCCTAGCCGTAAGCTGGTCGTCTTCTATTATCGCTGGGGCAAGACCGACACGCCGAATACGATAGAGGTCCCTGAGGCAGCGTTGTCCGGGAAAAACGCTTCAGTATCCCACTCTTCTTCTTCCCCTTTGGCCGTCAATCTCTTCATTTGCCCTTTAGTCCCGCAAGTAGAGTATTCTCTTTCTATAAAGGCTCAGAGACAGAGACGGAGGCCTCCAAATGTATGCAAATGTCCCGGCACCAGATAATGTCTGTGTGTTCACATGTGGTGCTAGAGGCCTCTTTAGGTCCTCTTCTACTCGACTTCAAGCGTGTGGGCCGACGTTGTAGGCATAATGACGCATAAAGGGATGGGGATAGTGCTGCTTCATGGGGTGGGCAGACAGTGTGACAGTCAGTCTTGTGTGTACTGACTGGGTGAAAATGGCAGTCGGAGCCTGGAGACAGACAAAGGACCCGCGAGTAGAGTTGGCAACTGAGGCAGTGGCCTTAGTGACTGGTAGAGGCCACAAACGGAAAAGAAATCAGCAACGACGGGTAGATGCCGCAGTGGTAGGCACAATTCAGACAACACGAGATTCTGCTGTCCGAGTGCTGGAGGTTCGTCTGCCTGGGCATAGTACGAAAGTGATTGGGGAATCGGCTGGCCTGGGCTTTAGGGGGTCATTTTTTCTCGATTGGCCAGTTACATGTCACGATTGTTTATCTTCGTCGGTGGGTAAACATGCCCCTGACTAACCTCAACCGGTCCTGGTTCCCTTTATTCAGTTGGCCCTGCTGACCGATGCTTCCAGATGAATAAGGGATAGGTGGGCGGATTAGAACCAGGACTAAAGAAATAATAGGATTATCAGACAATTCATAGCCCATAACACTGTGGCCTGATGAAAAAAGTAGTCATTATTATTTGAGTATTAAGATTCTTTAACAATCAGCCCTATGGTGAGTAATTTCGGCTTAGAGAACAATCTTCTCCCACAAAGAAGATGGGTGAATTGATTTCTACATCAATCGCTGCATTCACACTAGGCCGCCGTAGGTGATGAAGGAATGATAGTAGAATTCAGTTGTTTGGTTCCCTTGATATGCTGCAAGTATGGTACTGCAAGACTAGTAGTTTTGACGGCACTTTCAACATTATTTTCGTATTGGGGTAGAGCTTCGAGTCTACGAGTAAATCAGTAATATGGGATGTATTCACCCTATTTCATCTAAGGTGACGAAGGACTGATAGTAGAATTTTCCCACAATGATATGAGTTGAGCTGACGTTTCCATTAAATTTCACATAGCCTTGAATTTCCCAAAAGTTGTTCGAGGTCGAAACTGCAGTCCACCCTGGACGAGAACAACTTTTGGGAAAGCAAGGCTTTGTGAAATTCAATGGAAACGTCAGCTCAACTCATATCATTGT